GGCTCCTCCCACGTCAACAGAACCAGAATCGTCTGAACAACCGCCTCAATCGGAAACACCCTCTGATGAGCCTCAAGTTGACCAGATACCGCCCATCCCGGACCAGCCCACAGATACAAATGCCGTCGACACCGCATCAGATCCTCCCGAGCAGCCTCCTGCAAGGCAGAATCCAGACACAGCTGGTACATCAAGCAATGAGATGACGATTGACACTCCTGTAGATTCTACCCCGGGCACAGACGCGCCACAGTCAACGACTGTGGATGGAAATGGTCGAACTGATCCCGACGACTCTGCATCGGGTGGAGATACTTCCTCTGATGATTCTACGAGGCCAACCTCGGAGGGTTCTACCGAGTCCAGTGACTCCACAAGTGAAGAGGAGAACCAAGAAGATAAGCCAGAGGAGGAACCGGCAGACTGGGCAGACATTGTCGAAGATACTTCGATGCCGGATGAAAACGAACTGAAAGAAATTGAAAATGCGGATGCAGATTATAGCGCTTATGAGTGTATGTCTTCCCTGACTCCTTTGCCACGTCGTTCTTTTATGGGCTGCACTTAACATAGAGACTATTTCTAGACGACTATTGGGAAAGCACCTTTTATCGAGATCCTGATGATCCAGAGTACCGTGCTTCTGAAAAGGCTCGCCTTACATGGAAGATCAAGGGTGTGCGAGGTACCAAGGAAAAGCCCAACCGCGCCACAATCATGCGCTCACCCGCAGCATATGTTGGCGGCCACTACTGGACCATCAAGTTCTTCCCGCGAGGCAATTCCGTGTCGTCATTGAGTATCTATGTGGAGTGCTCAGCAATCCCTCCAGAACCAGATAAGGATACCTGTGAAACCGAGTTCAAAGTCCTCAGAGGACCGCCTGATGCAGATCTGAGCAAGCTGACTCCAGTACAAGAGTTGTCGCTCCCGGCTGGACCACGTGCCAAAGAAACAAAATCGACACCACCGCCCGACGAAGGCGAAAAAGGGCGAGGCCAGTGTCGAGGCTCATGAGGTATCCCGGTACTTGTACACTAGCTGAGCCCAAAGAAGAGGAAAAGAACGACTGGGAGAGTGTCAGCTCAATTTGGCGTTATCTTATACAATCCAGATGACCCGCGAACAGGATGGATGCAATTCGTCCTGGCCTCCAGTTCAACCCTCACAACGGTCACTGGGGGCTAGACTCTCATTCCAGGGGCCCATTGGGAATCAAGATCCCAAATCCTCATCCTTGTCCAACTAACACAGGATCCTGTGTGCGCA